GGGTTTAATATTTTTCCTAGAACTTTTTTTTTTTTTTTTTTTTTTTTTTTTTTTTTTTTTTTTTTTTTTTAAAAAAAAAAAAAAAAAAAAAAAAAAAAGAGGAAAAGAAAACCCACAAACCCCCCCACAATGTTTCATTACCTGGTTGGTAGAAATTTGGTGAAAGTTCTCTGGCAACTGCTCTGGCGATATCACATTCCTGGCGAGCTGCCTGAGCGGCCTGATCCGCAGCGTCAGCTTTAGCTCTTGCGTGTGCAGTTCTGTAGGGGGCAGAAAAAGGGTTATAATGCAAGAGGAGCCTTTGACGGGTCTCATCAAGAACGTGAGAGTGAAAAAATTCTGTCCTCCACTTTCATCCACCCCCCTGTACAGCGCGCTCTTGGAACTGCAAATCGAGGTGTTTCTGAATCTCAGCTCTTCAGTCCCACAGAATCACAGAATAATATGGGGTTGGAAGGGACCTCTGGAGATCATCTCCTCCAACCCCCTGCCAGAGTAGGGTCAGGTCCCACAGGAACGTGTCCAGGTGGGGTTTGAATGTCTCCAGGGAAGGAGACTCCACCACCTCTCTGGGCAGCCTCTTCCAGGGCTCTGCCACCCTCACAGGAAAGAAGCTCCTCTTCATGTCCACATGGAACTTATGTGCCCATTTCCTCTAGTCCTGCTCAACCTCATATCACGTTTACTTGTAGGTACACAATTTACAGCCCAGGCTTGCTAAATCAAACAAAAAAAAAAGTACCAGATCAAAACTGGGGATTATAATTTTAATACACGTCACCAGAATGTGCCCAGAAAGTCAGACAGAGCCACACCACACCAACTCCTAATGACAGGTCTGTGAGACCAGGACACAGTGTCCAAGGGGCCTGTGGAATGCCATCACAACCCAAAGCTAATGCTCACTGCTGGGTGCCACAGAAAATGTTGCGAAGGGCAAAACTGAGGTATGTTGGTCCAAAAAACCTGAGATATGTATTCACAGAGTCACAGAATCACAGAATGGCAGGGGTTGGAAGGGACCTCTGGAGATCATCTCCTCCAACCCCTGCCGGAGAAGGTCTACCCAGAGCAGGTCCCACAGGAACATGTCCAGGTGGGTTTGAATGTCTCCAGAGAAGGAGACTCCACCACCTCTCTGGGCAGCCTCTGCCAGGGCTCTGCCACCCTCACAGGAAAGAAGTTCCTCCTCATGTTTAGATGGAACTTCCCATGTTCCAGTTTGTGCCAGTGAGGACTTGACAGTTTTAAATTCTTGTAACTCACTGAATTTCAAATCCAGAACAACGTCACTTTTTTCTGAAGTTTGGACAACAGTTTGGAATCCTTTCGTAAAGCAATTTGCCCTCTGCTTCCACTTTTTTCCTTCGGCTATTTCTTAAAAAGCCTCAAGAACAGCTTGTGCAAGTGCCTGCGATTCCGGACTGTGTAAAGTGATCCTTGTGTTCCTGCGGGATTGCATCACCCCGTGTCCCATCTCCCCCCCCCAACCCCGGCCCCCACTTCAGCTTTTAAACAGTCATCTGTTTAAAAATTCCTGATGGCAGTGATCTCTCCCTGCCTCTCCAGCATCAGCTCGTAGCCTGGAGCTATGAAACGCCTCATCGGAACAGAGGGGAAGCTAAACATGGCAAACGGGCAGAGCTTTTTGGATCCTCTAGAGATATTAATAACATTTCTAAAGCAGATACATGAAATTCCATGATCTCAGGAATTTCCTCATAGCATTCTAGGAGAAAACTGACACTTCAGTAAGAAAAAAATTAGTGAAGAGGACAACAGCAGCAGCAACCTTTATCCCACGTGCCTGGTGATGCTAATCAACAGCAATCAAATAACCGAAAACTTTTCAACAACTTCGCTGCAAAAATTTGGGTTTATTCGCAAGGAAGAAAGGAGAGCTCCAGGTGTTTTAGGTGAAGCAAGAATTAAACGTTTAGCATTAACCACAACGAGCACGGAGAGATTAACAGTGTGGCAGACTTTGCATTTCTAAAAAGCTGTTTAATCCCGTAGGGTACCAGTACAAACACAGACATGAAAAACCCACAGAGACGGTTTCGTCTGTGGTGCCTGGAGAAGATTTATTTAAGTTACATCCTCCCTAAAACGTGTGCGGGGATAAATGCTGAATGTTATTTCAAAGCTTAGCCTGTCATCGTTCACTGGAGAAATATCAGCTCGTGCTGCCTTCCCACCGGTCCCTCTGGGTCCCGGAGAAAAAAAAGAGATAATGAGCAAATAAAGCAGTAACACCTTCCACTGGGGCTCAGGATGGGGGACAGAAACTGTTAATCAAACCAAACACACCGTATAATCCCATATGTGCTCCCTGCAGCCCATGAATGGCTGGATGGTATGTGCTTGCCTAGTAACAGTCATCAAACCCGCTCTTTCTCTATAATCATTATTTTCAATTAGATGAGCTATTCTTAGCTCCTGCATAATTATGTCGATGTAGCATAAACTTAATGAAGCAATCCCAGCGCTGGGACATTGTTTTGTGAGACAATAATGTAGTCTGCCCATAGATAAACGAGACACTGAGCATCCTCTTGTGATGACAGAACAACCAGACAGTATTTTTATATCCCCATATACAAATAGTCTAATATTATTGCCACCGATACAACAGGCATTTTAAAAGCTAATGTACTAAATGACCAGCACTGGGAAAACATGCTGTCAGGGTGGTAGAGTTATTGATTGATGCCTGTGAATTTTCTGTATTATTATATCCAAGAAGAAAATCATAGAATCATGGAATGGTTTGGGTTGGAAAGCATCTTCAAGATCACCCAGTTCCACCCCCCTGCCAGTAACACCTTCCACTGGGGCTCAGGATGGGGGACAGAAACTGTTAATCAAACCAAACACACCGTATAATCCCATATGTGCTCCCTGCAGCCCATGAATGGCTGGATGGTATGTGCTTGCCTAGTAACAGTCATCAAACCCGCTCTTTCTCTATAATCATTATTTTCAATTAGATGAGCTATTCTTAGCTCCTGCATAATTATGTCGATGTAGCATAAACTTAATGAAGCAATCCCAGCGCTGGGACATTGTTTTGTGAGACAATAATGTAGTCTGCCCATAGATAAACGAGACACTGAGCATCCTCTTGTGATGACAGAACAACCAGACAGTATTTTTATATCCCCATATACAAATAGTCTAATATTATTGCCACCGATACAACAGGCATTTTAAAAGCTAATGTACTAAATGACCAGCACTGGGAAAACATGCTGTCAGGGTGGTAGAGTTATTGATTGATGCCTGTGAATTTTCTGTATTATTATATCCAAGAAGAAAATCATAGAATCATGGAATGGTTTGGGTTGGAAAGCATCTTCAAGATCACCCAGTTCCACCCCCCTGCCCTGGGCAGGGACACCTCCCACCAGACCAGGTTGCTCCAAGCCCCATCCAGCCTGGCCTTCAACCCCTCCAGGGATGGGGCAGCCACAGCTTCTCTGGGCAACCTGGGCCAGGCTCTCACCACCCTCACAGCAAAGAATTTCAGGGACTAAGGAGAAATACACGAGTTTTGAGTGATGCTGTTTATAAGGGAGAGCTCTCAAAGCAGGGGAGTCCCACTGAAACAGAATCCATTTGCTCCATTTATGAATTTGGGAAAGCCTTTTTTCACCTTTTTTTTCCTGGAGTAATTTTCTCTTGGTAAAATGTCAATTTCCATTTATTATCAGTAATTATTCGTGGAAATTTAAGCCTACGATATACCAGCTCAAAATGACCCACATTTCAATGACCACCATCTTCTTGAGTATTGTTGTTGAGCATTTTTTTCCACATCTCTTTTTACATCTTTTCCCACAACGAGAGATTTTTATAAGAACTTTTGGAAGAGAAAACTCAAAAGACCATCTCCTTTCCTCTCCCAGAGCCAAGGAAAAGACTGGCGTAGGCTTTGCATGCTCTGGGATGGGTTGATCTGAAGTTTCAGCAGCAAATTAGGAACTAGGCAGGGAAGTGGGCAGCGATCCACAGATGGCAAAGTTGGATGGGAAAATACTGAGTGACCTGCTCTAAAATGATGCATTTAGTTGCTAACCCACAGCAAAGGGCCTTTAATGGTTTTTCGTTTGGGTGAAAAATTGTGTAAAAATTCATTCTCAGCAACTGCAACACATAATGGTAACTTTTGAACCGTGTTTTCACCTGTGTATCCAGTTGAAGGTCTCACCCTGCCATTAATATTCCATGTGAAGCCTCAAACGTGCCCTTGAAAGCTTTCAAACCAACACAGAATTAATGTACCAAAACCAAAACCTATTCATATTGCCAGAAACAATCTCCCACTGAACTAACGAGCCCACAGTGCCACTGTTAGACCTTTCATTTGGACCTTTATCAGGGTGGGATTTTGAAAGAAGCCCAAGCTTTCTAGACTTTGAGACAACTGATACCACTACCCATACCTTTCTTTTCTGTATTTGGTTGGGTAGATAAATGGATATATCACTTGAGCTACACTCAAGAGATGACAAGCCTGCCCTTCCAGCAACACCACAACCAGATTCCTACCTCCTTGTGTCTGAAAACATAACTCCTCGGATGAGGAGCATCAAGGGCTGAAGAGCTTAAACAAAATTATCTATCTTTCTGCAGCACCGATGCTCGTATCTAACGCCATGTGTCTGGAACGCATTATGTAATGTTTATTTAAATTTAAGCCCCATTTAGAACCGTCCATTACCCTCCAGATTATTTTGTACATCCACAGTATCCTTCGATGCACTCGTAATGCTGCCTCATTCAGAGCCAACTAAAAATGTAAGCGACATATGTTTACTTCGTTTCATTTTTCAGCTTTTATTAAACACAGTGATTCCAGCATAAAGCTTTCCAGGAGCTTGCTCTCTATTTCTTAAAATGATACAAATAGTTTTCCATTATCTATCTGCCAAATGTATGAAACTCAATTATGTTCCTATCAAATTATCCTAAATTAATAATCTTAACAATGTTACTTATTAACAGATTTCCGTATTATCGAAAAAAATCAGTAAAGGCTAAAATGAAATCAAGCGATCAGAGATATATTTAATTAATGATTAATACTATATTACTATATAAAATATATAGTAATATATCTAATTAAATAATTAATAATCAGGTTTCTCAGAGCAACACTACGTATTGTGGGCTACTGCCTATGCCATCCTTTTTGACACTGGAATTCTGTAAAAAACAATCCCATCTTCCTAAATTCTAAAATTCAGTGATTTTTTCC